CATTGTTGTTTGGCGGGTCCGGGCTGGGGATTCGAACCGGCCACCTTAGGTGTACGTGGCTGACGCCTTAGCCGGTTGAGCTATAGGCGCCGAGCCTCAACTCTTTTTTTTTTTTTAAATCATCCTTTAGCTTGTGTTTTTTTTTCTTCCGTTAGTTTCCAATATTATAAATGATATAATTACAGTATCACAAGCTGTAATTCAGTTCTTGTTTCTCAGGTATAGAAAGGTCTTTCTTCAGTGGCCAATTACCTGGAAATTGGAATCATGCAAGAAATTGCAAAATGCAACTTTCTTTGCAATGGATATGAAGTAGTTTAATCACGAATCCTGATGAGTGAAAGAAAATGAATTTACCAGCTGGGCATGGTGGTTCAGGCCTATAATCCTAGCACTCTCACAAGCTGAAGCTGATGGATCACCTGAGCTGGAGTTCGAGTGCAGCCTGAGCAAGAGCCAGTAAGACCCCATGTCTACTAAAAACAGAAAAACTAGCTGGGCATGGTATGGTATACTCCTGTAGTTCTAGCTACTCAGGAATCTGAGGCCAAGAGGATCTCTTGAGCCCAGGAGTTTGAGGTTGCTGTGAACTGTGATGCCACGGCACCCTACCTGGGCACAGAGTGAGACTGTCTTTAAAAAAAAAAGGACTTTACTTAGGCAGAAGTCTCTGTCTTGTAGTGCTTATGGGAACAGAGATGATCTAGAACTTAATTTTAAAAGTGAAATTAAATTATAGGATTCTGAGTTAGTCTGGTTAATTCCAACTATGGGCACACCTCTAGGCTATTCTGCACCACAAGCAAGCCTTGAACAACTTAGCAAAAATATGAAATTCCAAGTTCACCTCACCTCTTACTTTTGTCTGAGCTATATTTTTTAGGGCTCTCCAACAGAGAAATTAAACACTTTCACAGAGAGTTATGGAAACAGCTCATTTTCTTTGAGAAAAAAAAAAAAAAACTCAAAGAAATTATATCAATTGTAGGGATGGAGAAACGTGTTTGAGTCTGGTTGTAACCCAGGTAGATAAATCCTTCTCAGGAAACTTCTGAGGAGGTTCAGTGAATGAGAAACAGTAAAACATAAAATTCCTTGGTAGACGATGTTTGCATGCAAATTGCGTATGGGTTTTTGGTATTGTTGCTATTTTGATTTTATTTGTTTGTTTTTGAAATGCAGCCATTCATTTCTCTAGGTCTGAGAGCGCCACAACCGAGAAAAAGTCATCTTTAGACAGCTGTTTCTGTTAAATTCCTTCCACGTATAAGGTCCTCTGAAACCTTTCCCGGGTTATCCTTCTCTGCCCTTCCCTGAGCCCTCCCCTTTGTGTATTTTCTGAAAGTCTAAACATCTGTTTAGGTACCATTTGGTACTGAAAGGATAAATATCTTTTGTGTTATACCCCTCGCATATCAATAATGAATCGTGTTCACAAAAAGAGAACAGTGAGAGACCAGGTTGAAAGTGAAATTGTTTTTAAAAGGAGAATTTTGCCATAACAAAAGTTGGTCTCAGGGAGGCATCTATGGCTCAGTGAGTAAGGCGCTGGCCCCATATACCAAGAGTGGTGGGCGCGAACCCTGCTCCGGCCAAAGTGCAAAAAAAAAAAAAAAAAATTGGTGTTAGCAAAAAGATGAAGAAAAGGTACAATTTTAAAGGTAAATAAAATGATCGGTGGTTGGAAAGAAAGGGAAATATAGTTTAAATTAGTGTGTTCCATCACCAAGAAAGGATGTTAGTGAAGAACTTGCTAATTATATACTTTCAATTATTCCTCCATTTACTTCCAGAACTACACAACTTAAAAATACTGTGGTTTCTTCTGGGTAAATATTTCTCAAAATGGACTATGCCTTCAGTTTGTGCTCAATAACCTTTTCTAATTTTTTTTTTTGTTCAAATGTTAACCATCCCAAGTGTAGATGCATAATGAATCCTCAAATATTTACCCCTCAGATTCAATCACCATCATTATTTTACCAGCCTGCTTCATCTACCCCACCTTACTTCATCATAAATTTCTAATTAATAAGGACTAGTAGTCTTTTTAATAATAAATAATGATTAGTGGGAAAACCTTTCAAGCAAAGATGCCACAAAGAGTTAGTCATCTTTCTTACAAATTCTCCTGGACTGTCTCTGTCAGTACTGTGGGAATCCTGGAAGCTCTTACCGAGAATTATTTTTTTATTCTGAGCCTGTCTTCTGGGTGTTCTTACTTGTCTTTAGTTCCTATATCTCCAGGAAGATTCAAGGGAATCCCTGACCCTAATCCCTCCTTCTGTAATTCTGAGAGGTGACATTCTTTAACATCAGCTATGGCAGAACCTCCACAATTGATCACCTCCCTATATTGACCCCTTAAGTTTGACCTAATTTTCACAGACTGGACATGCACCACATGAATGCATCAGTAGAGTAGGCTGGTTCCTTATGTTGGACACCTCCATGTGTTGGCCAGTTTGTTACAGTCCCTTGGGTGGTCAACTTACAGAGTTCTACTGTATTTAATAAGTAAGCAAAGGTGTTTTGAAGAACATGAGAATTCGGCAATAAAGTACTATGCTTTACTTTTCTATAGACTGAACCAAAAATGCGTAACAGAATAAAAGGCCAGAGGATGAGTTGTGCCTGTTACTGGAAGGAAGGACGGGCCTACAGTATAGAGCAAAGTCATTCCCAGATATTTTCCCATTAAATGTTGTAGAAGTTAAAAAAAAAAGAAAAAAAAAAAAAAAAGATGGACTCTGCTTTCACTGATTTAAAACTTGTGATTTATAATAACAAGTCCAGATGGTTTCTGAACTTTTTTCTCTTCTGAGTAGACAGAAAGCAAAATTACAAGTCGGTGATCAAGTGTATTTTCCCTTTTAACCTTGTCTCAACGGTGTTCAAAAACTTGGATGCAATTAATCGTTTCACAGAATAGCGCGTACCATTGTTTGATTAGCCTTGACAAAGCATTCCTTCTTCCTGAACGCTCTCCTCGAGTCTTTCATTAATGCTAGGGTGCCAAAGGCTGCCCTTTTGGTCCTGTTTTTATTTATTTTATGTATCTCGCCTTTTCTGGGTCATGAAAATTGATGCTTTTATGGTAGCATTTGATCTTTCTAGGAAGCTTGATGTACTTGTTAAGCTCTCAACTTGTTAATGAAGTTGAGGTTTTAGTCATATTAGGCAAAACATTAAAAGGGTATTTTCTTTCTTTATAATTTGCCTAAACACATTTCTCTTCATGCAGAAGAAAAAGAGAGAATTAATGACACCAAGTAATGTAATTCAGCGGGAAAGGTCCTGTTTGTTTTCTTTCTCGTTCTCTTCTTCTTCTTTTTTGTTTTAAATTCACTTTTTTCTTGGTAAGGCTGGTGTATGAAACCTTCAGAAGAGAGTTCAGAATGACCAGCCTAAGTAATCAGGACCCAGTGGCCCAGGATTTAGCTAAATAAATACAATATAAGCTTATTCTTTGTTCAGATGCTGGCTGCAAATTTTCTAAGTGATTGATTTGATGCTAATTTTCTGCATGGAATTCTCATTTCCTTCAGGGCCTGTCCTAAGGGAGGAAAATAAATTCAGCCAAACTGACTGAGCCTAGTTTGGGGTTTTATTTTGAATTCTGGAGGTTTAGCATCCTCCACTTCCCAGCAGGACTGCATCTCGGAGGGACTCTGATTTACGACATCCCAAAGAACACAACTTGGTCTGAAAAAGACTCCAGGTCTTCGGTCAGTCAGTGGCTCTTCCTCTCCTGCTCTCACACATTGTTACCTGCTCTATTTCCCCCTTTATTCCCTCCGTTCATCCCATGAATTGAACACAGAGTGAAAACTCTCATCCCTCTCCTTAATTCCCTATGTCCAAATGCTAGTACATTCTAGGATGAGATGAAATCAGCATACGCATGGCGGGCATCACCTTTTTGCTCACTGTAACACTGACCTCTTTACGTCAGTCCTCAGTGCTGGTGGACGTCCGTGCTGAGAGCCTTGATTGTGTTATGCCGTGGCCCTAGGCGAACCTGTCATATTTCTATTCCACCGTAACCACCATCTTTGTTTTAATATATTCATGAATCAAAGAAAGTGATAGACATTTTTCATTTCCATATGCAATTCAGGGGATGACTGGAGGAAGCAGAGAGAATTGTGGCACATAAGGATGTGTGACAGTATGACAGAAAGATCACTTGACCGAAGGCCCTACGTCCTGAGCCAGAAATTCCCTGTCTACATCTTGATGGGCAAGATGCATCCCCTCTCTAAGCCATTGCAGGGTGCGAGACATCAAGCCATACATTTTTTAATAAAAGACATTGTTTTAAATTCATTCTAACTCTTATTATTAAGTTATTTTGAAGTTATGATGTCATGTTGGCATCTCAGGTGATCGACTAATTTTTCTCAACATTTGTTACTCAGGACCCCAAACTACGAGAGCTTTTGGACGTGGGCAACATTGGGCGTCTAGAGCACCGCATGATCACCGTGGTGTACGGGCCTGACCTGGTCAACATCTCCCACTTGAACCTCGTGGCTTTCCAAGAAGAAGTGGCCAAGGTATGGTGGATGGAAACTCTAGAGCTTGTCATCTTGATCTGAGTCTTGGTGATATTATACTGAGGCCTGTGAGAGACTTTGAATTTTTGTCATATTTTAGCATGTGTTAAAATTTTATCTAAAAATAATTTAGCTGCCAAGTATAAGTGTAATTCAAACACTTCCAAATAATGGCATACACTTAGAATTATGGAGATTTTTTTTCATTAGGAGTAAGGCATTGGATATAATTTCTTTGCAAAACAAAGTATAGATAAAACCATTTTTCATTTTATCTGAACACCTTATTTCAAGTCATTCTATGCCTCATCCTTTTGCTACTTCCAACCTCATCTTCTTCCCAACCCCATCCTAGAGATAGACCGTTGGCACCTTCTTAACTTCTCTTTCCCTGCACAGCACCTGTCCCACGCGTTCCTATGGTGGTGGTTCAGGTCATAGCTAAAGGATTGAAAAAAATTAAATAAAAATGTAAAATAACAAAGATAATATTTCAAAATAATAAATAATATTTATTCAACATTGGCCTGGAGAGCTGCTCTCCATCCAGTGAGCCGTTCAGTTACATGCAGAATTCACAAGAATATACACACAGCATAGCAAGCAAGAATCTAGGAACATCTAGCATCCCCTGGACTCAATCCTTCTCTGGAAAGACCCAATTGCCATTACGAGAAAACCAAAATGAACATATTAAAAGAAGAGCTTTCTTTTTCTGTGTTTATGGAATGCTAGTGATGATTCGTATCCTTCATATAATTTCCAGAGTTCATGTGTGGGGGTCTTGGTGTGTGACACACCTTTTGGGTGTGGGACACAATTATAGGAGGGACTTTACCTAACAAATGCAATCAATGTAACCTGGTTTCTTGTACCCATAATAAAATTAAAAAAGAGTTCATGTGAGTCTGAGCATGCTTTGAAGGCTACATATCATATAGCTTCCCTTACAGAGCATCGCATGTCATGAATCACAACTACAGGGGAGTTTAGTCCAGCCTGTATTATCTGGGCATTGGGATGTGTATTTTTTAACCCTGAGTGTTCTGACAATTTTCTAAGCTACACCGGATATATTACCCTGGTTTCTAATTTATTAGAGATTGTTGGCAGGGGGTCGTTTTGAACATTTACATACCATCAACTTCAGTTGTTCATAACAAAGTGAATTAAATGCTGACAAGTTTTAATACCCTGCAGCCCTTAGGAAGTTCTCTCTCCAACTTTTACAATCCTAATCTATTTTTCTCTTTAAGAACCAAATTACTGGCTGTGCAGGGTGGCTTACGCCTATAATCCTAGCACTCTGGGAGGACAAGGACGGTGGATTGCCTGAGCTCAGGAATTGGAGACCAGCCTGAGCAAGAGTGAGACCCTGTCTCTACTAAAAATAGAGGAATTATCCAGGCATTGTGGTGGGCACCTATCATCCCAGCTACATGGGAGGCTGAAACAAAAGGATTGCTACAACCCTTGAGATTGCTGTGAGCTATGATATCACAGCATTCTATCCAAGATGACAGAGTGAAACTCCATCTCAAACAAAAATTTTTTTTTCATTCAAGAAAACATTGTCTATGTGACAGCATTGTACTATTGTACTTGCCCTGCGGTAATAATTTTGGTATCCTCCTTGTGAACTTCTGCATTCTATACACAGTAGAACCTTCATAGTTGACCACCTCCCTACATTGACCATCTCCTTAAGTTGACCTAATTTTCATAGACTGACATGCACCATATGTACGTATCAGTACAGCAGACCTAGTTCCTTATGTTGACCACCTCCATTTGTTGACCAGTTTGCTCTAATCCCCTGAGTGGGCAACTGACAGAGACTCTACTGTACTTAATTTCTTAGTATGTGGATGGGTGACTGGATAGATGAATGGATACCGAAAGCCCCTGGGTATGAATGAGATAGGTTTGTTCTTAAGTTGAATTTGTATGTAGGCTGGAACAAGTACATTTATCTACTACCTATAGTAACCTCCCTTCATAAGTGGGAGTCGTATGTCTGTCAGATTTTTGTAACTTGGGGACTGCCGATATAGAAAACAGATTCTAAATATTTGTAAAATATTGTAAAAATATCTTTCCCCAAATGCAACTGGGTTCCCTTTACAAAAATTGACCAATTCATGAGATTCACTAAATCTTAATTTAAAAAATACAGTAAATGAGAGTGACATTCAGGGAAGCTTTCACTAGAATTAAATATAGATTTTACATTACATACCCATCTGCACGTCTTAAATTGCATTAAACTTTTGTGCAGTCATATTTAAAATATATTCAATTTCTTCCTTTCTGTGGGTTCCTACTGAATAATTCTCTTCAGGGTTTGATTTTTGAACCCTGTAATATTCCCCGTCAGGACTGCCTCTACAGAGATTATTCCAGCAGCCACTTGATGTTCCTTGTATAATTAATGGAGTTGTAGAGAATATTTTTGCCTTCTGTGGCTGTGATGTTCCATAGAGCATTTTTTTCCTTGCTGAAATTGCTCAGTGAGGAAGTTATGACTTCCAAATGCCATTTTACTCAGAAAACTTACCTCCCATACTTTTAATTGTTGGTGTTGTCTCATAACATCACACCTTCTATTTAATCTCTGCCACCAATACGCAGTAATACCTTGTGTAATGCCAGCACCAAAGGTGACACTTTCTCTTCTGATGTAGAATGCCCACCAGAAACTGCAGCTTTAAATGTCTCCAGAAGAAATTGTTTCCAAAATTTTGTTTACAAACAGATCCCAGCCTATTCATTCATTCAGCACACATTTTTGGATCCCTTCTCTGTGCCAGCCACAATTCCAGTGCTAGGGATGCCTCAGTGGAGAAGGCCTTCTCTTCAGGAGCCATCACTCCAGAAGAAATAAACAGACAAATTATGATTAAATGGCAACCATATCTTTGGTCAGATGGAGATCTGCGTGGAAGAATCAAGCTTTAAGGGGTGGAGTGTGTGGGTGGTAGAAAGGAATTAGGGAATTATTTTGGAATCATTATTACTATTATTTTGAGACAGAGTCTCACTCTTTGTGCTGAGTAGAGTGCCATGGCATCATAGTTCAGAGCAACCTTAAACTCTTGGGCTTGAGCAATCTCTTGCCTCAGCTTCTGGAGTCGCTGAGACTATAGGCCCTGCCATGACACTAAGATAGTTTTTCTCTTTTTAGGTGGGATGGGATCTCGCTCTTGCTCAAGTTGGTCTCCAACTTCTGAGCTCAGGTGATCTACCCACCTTGGCCTCCCAGGGTGCTGGGATTACAGGCGTGAGCCACCTCACTTGGCCAAGAATTACTTTTTAATGGGCCAAGCATGATATAGGAAAGTGGCTTCCAATGCTAAGGCCACTTGAAGTCCAAGTGAGTCCTTGGCTTCCCGCAAGGAAGAATTCAGGAATGAGCCAATAGCATAAAGTGAAAGAGAGATTTATTGAGAAACTGCAGAAAGTCTACTCCGCAGCAGAGCAGAGGCCAGTTCTCCCTGCAGCTGTGACCCCTTCCCCTGTTCCTGTTGCCTTTCTACTTGAGTAAGGCTAATTATAGGCTAACCAAGGGCAGGGATGTACATGGAAGGGGATGTGTTTCCCATCTTGGTTCTCAGCCGTTGGAACTTGCCCTGCCTCCATTATGTTTTGATCAAGATAATTTGAAAACTTTCTTTTGAGACTTCTTGACTCAGTTAAGCAATGCCGCAGTTATGCCCTAAATGATCGCCCAGGGTGATCAATACCCAAAAACTACCCAAACTAGGACCTGCCAGTCCCCTGTCTCAGTCAGAAAAGCAAAAATTCTGAAGGATATTACTCAATTACAATAATATCATAGATGTCTGAGAAATCTCTTGGATCAATTCAAAATTAGAAGTAGGACTTAAACTTCCCTAAAGTTACTATTCCAAATTTCCATCCTTTTATAATTCTGACCCAAAACACTTGAAATTGAATTTGTAACTTATTCCTGAAGACAAGCGAATCCTTTAAGGGATGGACATGGGGAGAAAACGGTGTCTTTCAGAGTCTTCCTCTGTAGCTGGACTAGAAACGTGGTGTCTCTTATAAGAAACAACACTCGTACTTTGGTTACGTCGCATGATTTGCCAGCCCTCTGGCCCCAAGATCAGTACCCCCTGCTCCCTAGGGGGGAGCCTCCCTTGATGCATTTGGGAAATAGGTGGTTTGTTGCAAGTTTGCTGTGAGTCTCAGGATACGCCCAGCACCTCCTGCTCCTCTGGAGACCACTGGACACATCTGCTTTCTCTGCGCTTGGAACTCCCAGACTGCAGGACCTGCCTCCGAGGCAGAGCAGCAGGGAGGGGGTGAATATCGCCATCCCTCCCGTTACTCTCCCACCTCTAATCCCAACAGTGCTCCAGTCATGACTTGTGGTAAGATCTGAGGTATCAGCAGAGGAAATGAAAATAGGGGAAGAGAGAGAAAACTACCCGGATGATAAACATGGCTGCCGCCTGGGCCGGGGAAGAGAACAGAGGCAAAACCCGGAGCAGTCGGCCCTGCGGGGATTCCTTCCACTGCTAGACAGCTTCCCAGTTCTGCTGACGACTGAGATGTCGCACACACCTTCACCATCCCAGCATCTACCCCGCTCAGGGGGGTGCCTTCCTACCCACCATGGGCCCTCTCATCTTCTCCCCAGCCCCACCCATCCCGCCCACAGACCCTGCACCTGCATGCCCGCTTGAGCACAGCCCTCACATCTTCAGTATCACAAAACCCCACATCCACTCTGGCCCTCAGGTACCTTCAAACAGTCTGGAAAGGGCTGTCAGTCTCCAGGTGTTGCTCCAGTCTCCCCTGAGATGCCCCGATGCAGGGTACTGATGTGCTTTTCACCCACCCCTGCTCATCCAGCAGTCAATTCTTGCAACAAACATAAGCACACAGTCAGTCATCAGTTGTGAGAGACAGCCTGGGTAACGTAAGGGCTGAAGGCATAAATCTTATTCAAACACAGATTTTTTTTTGGCGGG